AATATAATATAATATAATATAATATAATATATTAAAACAGTTATCATGAAATCATGAGTAATACCTCATAACTTAACATAAAACTTGATTTGGGAGGAGGCTTGCTAATATTACTTTTGCTCAGTTGTCCTCTCAACGCAAGCTTCCCTCACCTCTGTGTGCAGTCCTGAGGCAGAGAGGAAGGACCCACAATAGCCAATTTGTGATATTGTTTACATAATGTAGATTTCTTAATAATTTAAGGCAGTAAAAGAGGTTGTTCTGCAGAGTTTATATTGCTCATTCTTACGGTTTGCTAATATTAAAACTAGGTTAGATTAAATAGCAGCAAATCTAGAAAAGTGAAAATTCCTATGAGGTGTTGAAATGCATCAGCAAGGCACTTCTAGTGAGCAAGAACTGCAAGGCACTTGCAGTTTTGTAGCAATGGTTGCATCCTTTGTCTTGTGTCTTTTGTACAAAGAAGTAGTTACAAAGGTGTGTTTTATCAGCAGTACTACAACAAAAGAATAGGTTCTTCTGCTGGCACAGAGAGGCAAATCAACACAGCGAGGCTGGAAACGCTCAGCAGCAGAAGAGGGGTAATCAGGGGATACGGCACCTGGCAACACTGTGAGTCACACTATTGTCCACAAGTGGCGTGTTCAGAAGCAAAAAATGTTTCACTGAGTCGTAAGTGGTCAGATCTGTAAAAAGGGTAAAACAGCATTGTCAGAAGGAAATGCTGACCATGCTGTTCATTACTGACATAGGATGGAGGCTTGGCAAGACCGAAATTTCCAGTGCGGCTCCTCCCGTTGGCACAGCTAGCACTCTGCCCCCAGTTTCTGATGACAGTTGTGGCTCCCAGGTCCTGTTGTTAGACATGCGAGTACGTGCTCCCTTCTACTACTGTCTTCTCTGATACACGCTACAAATGATAAAATGGATCCCAAATGGAAAATTCTGCAAAATAACTCATTAATCAAACCCAGAAACGTCATGATAAAGATGGTTCTAACTCTCCCACCTCTGTGCAAGTGATACAAAAATGTTAGAAACATTAGACAAAAAAAGTAGATGATGCCATGGAAGTTATATCATGTTCTTCTGAAAGCAGACATGAGTTACAGTGTCTGGGCATCTGAATGAAAGACAGTGGGCTGAAAGTTAGCAGATCTGGGTTACAATTCCAATGTCCTGACCTTAGGAGCCCAGCCTACTAACCAGGATGGCCCTGCCAGCACTTCGTAGTGCTTTACAACCCAAAATATCCAGTGGAGATCATTTCCTGCTTCTAAGTTTGTTTGTTTAAGTTTACATGCTGAGATTCCACTTTAATATTGCCTATGGAGATACATACCTTAGTTAATACTCATTCTATAGCCCTCATTTAACAGCTCCTGCTGCAAACATTATCCATCCAGTGATTCCTTTACTGCTGCTTAGCAAGGTGTAAGCTTACACCACCTCTGATTTTCTATCTTCAAAGATATTTTTTGGTCATGCTGTTAACACATCCCTGTGCTGAATGACGTAGAAATTAAAACCCATCGTGCCAAAGAAATTTAAGCATGCAAAATAAAAAATTGCCAAGGCAATGCTTTAATACAGGCCATCAAGCACAGAGCAAGTGTTTATGGTGGGCACCCACAGCTGATGTCTTTCCATCCCAAAGACATTTCTCTCCTTAGTTCATAAACAGAACCTCAGGAAGGAGAGCAAAGACCATCCAACATATCCTAAGAGTTTTGGAGAGACACAGGATAGCTCTATTTATATGTGGAAGGCATGAGTGCTTCTTGGATCAGCTGAGCACTCAGGCAGCCACTTCACCTTCTAACCCTCAGTCCCCGCCTGAACTATACTGTAGGTGTGCCTGTCTGCAGCTCCATCACACCATGCCTGGGCTGTGGACTTTGTTGATCTGGACACTGACCCATAGACAATCTCCCTAGTTTGATCTTGGACCTTTCTTACCACCACAGACCTGCTGGTGATCACTGAGTTTTGTCTGACCCTGGTGACCCTCACCAGACCTTGCTCAGCTTCCTGGCTTGGCCTCAACCTGCGTCATCACCACACACTTTCCTGAGGATCTGGATCTTGGTGGAACCTTGCTGCCTTTGCTGGCTCTGCCCTGCTCACTTTGCTTGGGCACCAGGGATCTGTGTTGTGGCTGCTGTGGGACTCCCTCAGCTCTCATCCCTCAGGCTCAGGCACAAACTGTTATTTTTAAGCAATTTGATTTCTCAGGAACACAATGCTCAGGGCAGAAGTCACCTGCCAGTGCACTTCAAACAGGTCCCCTGTGTAGATAACCAAGAGATGAAGACCAGGAGAGCAGCTGAACCCTCCTTAAAGCTTAGATGTGGCCTTAAGCGCTGCAGACCAAGTTATGAAATTTACCTCCCATGTTCACCAGAGCAGCTCTCTGGACATTGGGCACCCATCCTGCCCAAAGCCCCCGTATTCCTCCTTCAGACAGGATCTTCATAAATGCGTGGTGCACTCCTCGAAACCTGAAATCAATATGCAATGAATAAGTAGAGAACCAAGCTACGGAGAAATCTTTGCATCTTCCAGCACTTTGCTGCACCAAGTCCTCACATAAGAAAGGGAGTTTATACCTGCAAGGATCTGGCCCTCTGGTTCCATTTTTTTGTTCTGTTTTTGGATCCATCTTTGACTTTCATGCTAGGCTATTTTACCAAACAACCGGTTGCCCTGGTAAGCAGCAATCTGGTCCCTAATGACAGATGACCCTCTGATCCCACAGCTGGGTTGCGATGCTAAACATACACGACACCAAAGGATACCAGCAGTTTCAGATGCAAAGAGCAGTTGTGTCTTGGTATCTGCAGGAGGGTCTCGAGCACCCACTGTCTGCAGGTGACCCAACCCTTCCCTATGCCTGTGCATCCTGCACAAGCCATTTCCCCCATCCTTTCTTACAGCTTCCCTTCTTCAGAAAGCATCCTTCCCTGTCCCAGCAGAGTGCTGGCATGGATGTGCTGCACATGTAGGATGGGCGAGGGTTTGTGGTCTCTGGGACCAATACATCAGAATAAGGAAGGTGAGTATAAATAGAATAGGAGGAACTCTTGGATCCCTGATCTCCTCTGCTACCCAGAGCCATTGTGTGCCTCCAAGGCACTACTCTTCCCCCAAAAGGGCTGCAGGCAGCTGGGGAGAGGGGTGGCAGAAAACATAGAGAACCGCACCCTCAGCCAAAGAGTGATTATTAACAGGAAAAAACTGCCAGCTTCGAGAGGAACCGACCGTAACGGCTTTCCTTCCAACTTCCTTTTTCCTTCCATCTGCATCTGCACCTTCACCAGATCAGTCGGGCTGGCAAAAAACTGTCCGATGGCACCCGCAGACATGCCCCCAACTACAGCTTTCCTGCCGAACAGGGAAAAAAAATACGGAATACACTGAAAATCTTTACAAATCGCAGTGCTCGAGCTGAAGAGTTCAGCAGCACAACCCAGGTGAAACAAGTGTAAATGGTTATTCCTTATACTAACAGCCATAGTTAAGGTAATAATTGTGGTGACTGCAGGTAGTTAAGGTAGTCAATAACACTTCTGTCAATTTTAAGAAAGGGTTAAAACTTCTCTGGGGAAAAAAATCAAGTTCTTATACGTCACCAAGATGCTCTGCTTCCTCTCCAGGTTACATTATGCTCCTCCCTTAAGGTTTAAACGCAGGATGGCAAGGCACTCAAGTAAGGGATGGTGCTCCATATATTATAACTGAATGCCAATCTGAAATTCCAAACTGCTTGGTGATATATAAAAGGTGTTTTTTTTTTTTTATCTCCCATTGCTACTAGATGAGTTGTGTTAATTTTCTGGTTCTCCTTATTTTAGTAGAACAAGAAATTTCAGTATCACACATAGTTCCCTCTTCCCATAGCACCGGGCATGACAATTATTTTGTATTAGATTTTATAAATCCCATCCTAAAACCAGTTACATTTTGGACCCAAGATTTCATTTCAGAGTAAAGTACTCGATTGGATGTGATAATGTGTATGATTATAAAAGTACATGACTGACATTTTAACAAGGATTTGACAATTAGAAATTACCAACTTTTGCAAAACTTTATAAAAATCTGCTCATTCCTCACAGGCAAAGACTTACCTCTGTGGCTGTAGCCCACTTGCATTGTCCAAAAAGGGACTGAGTGAGATTTAACTGTTGCTGAACTAAACGTACAAAACAAAGATTTTGGTTTTCCTTTTTATAAGGATCACTTGTCTCCTCAGAAAGGGTGCATAGATTTAACTTAGGCTGACATCTGTCATACACACATGAACAAAATAGCAGTTTTTCCTTCATGATCTGCCTCTTCAGTAGCCAGGAACTTTCCATCTCTCGGGCTAAGATACAACACCAGAATCGGCAAATCTTCCTATTCCCCTTGTTTATAATCCAGTGGTATAATAATTTCGTACCCAGGCAGTACGACAAGCAGCAAAACAGCAAAGCATTGCCATGCTGCTGCTGCACAACACCTAATGGGACCCATCCCTTCAGCAGCTGATGATCTGAGATGTGCCACCCCTCACTTCTTTTCTGCAAAGCTCCAGAGGATATTTGAGATGTCCGTCAGACCTTTGGAAATGTATCCTCTCCCCCTGTAGAGCTCATCAGGCTCTTGGCTGACCTCAGAGCTGAGCAGGGCACAAGCTGCAAGTCCAGCTTGGCTCAGCTGAACCTTTGATTTGCATCGCAATAAGCTCACAGCTTCTCCAGCAGCCGTCACACACAGCTGCACGGTCAGCCACGACTCACCTGCACTTTCCAACTCTCCCCTGGTCCACGTGGAAATAAAGAAGCTGCCACTACCTCACAGACCTTGAGTCATGGTAAAGCTGCCCTGCCTCCGCTCTGATCCAGGCTAATTCCTGCCAGCCCAGGACAGCTGCTCCTACCAATGTGGTTTATCGTCTTTCTCCATCTCTTTAGTATAGAATTGTTATTAGAATAATCATGGTCCTAGTTAAGCCTCTGAGAAACTTGCATCAATATTTCTTAGTCCTGTTCCCGGCTGGAAGAAAAGATACTGCCCTCGAACTCAAGTCAGAAAGTCCGTATTGGTGCTTAAACCCCTACTTTATTTTTACCCTCTTTAGGGTAGGCAAGCTGTGAAGAAAAGAGAGCTTTTAGGGCTGCAGGACTCCTACAATAATGACAATCCCCAAACAGGCAAAAGAAAAAATATGCAACATTACCAGAAAGGAAAGCTTCCATCCTCAGACCTGCCAAGCACGGAGTCACGGAGATGTTCGTACGCAACCATCCGAACGCCAGAGTACACTGCAGAAAAAAAAAGCAGGAGACAATTCTTGAGTCTGGCATTTCTGGAGGTCACTCTGTGACAGAGAGATGAAGGGATTGATTGTAAAACACTCTGGGGCTCACTTGGATCAGCTGGTCACTGCTCTCATGTTCATGATCAAAATGGGGAAAGCGAGGGGGACTGCCTGATAGCAATGCTAGAGCCAGAAATTTTTAGCATCAGAGAATCTCTCTGGCTGAGCCATAGGTCTGCCAGGAGGCAGTGTGGCTTATGCCTGCACCGCATTGCTTCCCTCTTGGCTGGTGCCAAGCACGAAACCTCCCACAAGCACTTTTGAGGTTTGTTGCTGTCACCATATTTCCAAATAAAACACAGAAAGCTGTTGCCTGTGGCTAAACCACTAATGTATTTCATAGATTTCATAGATTTTCTAGGTTAGAAAAGACCTTAGAGATCATCCAGTCCAACTGTCCCTAATCTCCCATTAAACCATATCCTTAAGTAGTTCATCCACCCTTTTCTTAAACACATCCAGGGATGGGGACTCAACCACCTCCCTGGGCAGCCTATTCCAGTGGCTGACAACCCTTTCAGAGGAGAAATTCTTTCTAACATCCAACCTGAATCTCCCCTGACTAAGCTTATACACATATTTCTTCATCCCAGTGCTTGAAACCTTATCTTTTTTTTTCCCAGGTAGTCCCCACTTTCCTCAAATAAAATATATTTATTGTTCTGAAGCCTCTGAGTGTCTGCTTGTGCTGAAGACCTTCCTGCAAAGACGACAGGGAAATTTTATCTTGTTTTCCAGAAGCCAGATTAAGGCTGTGAAGGTATGGCCAAGAAAGGGAAGACAGGATATTGAGCCAGATTCCCATATATTTCGAAGTGGTATTGCAGGGTAGACTGAAGAAGTCCTCGCAGAGAACATATGGCAAGCTCATACCAAAAGGCTGTTGGCCCCAGAAGGCAAGACCCAAACTTGTCCCATCATGAGCAGATAATCACCTATGTGGCGGTAGATGGCTGGTGTGGCACCTTGCCAGAGCTTTCGTAAGCCCTCCTCTTGCACGATGCCGGCCGCAGTGCGCAGCATGCCGCGGTAAGGGACCGCCTGGCCGGCACCAGCTCCGTTGCGATGAACAGCAGCTTCACCTTGGACCTGCAGTCGAGTTTTCGTGAGATCCAGGGGAAATGTCACTGAAGAGACAAAGCAGGGAACAAACATGACTATGGGTGCAGCTGCGGGGAGACCTACCACGCCGGTAACATCTGCACCGTAGTCCCCCCTGTCAGGCAGCCAAGGGGGCTGTGCAAGCAGCAGCAGCAGGCAGCAGGGACTGTACCCAACAGGGGTGTAGGCGATTCGTGGAGAACAGGAGATTGACTCCCAGATCTGTTAAAAGTGGCTCTGGGCCTGAGTAACCAAAATCCATTCCTGTCAAGCACCAAGTCTTTCTCCCGTATTTCTTTTTGCAGATTTGTTATGTAATATGTGCATTTTCCAAGAGACTCTGGATTAAAAATCCTGTTCTGGTTACTCCCCTTGAATAAACATCAGTCAAATCTTATCAAGCATGTGGCTTCTCCAATTCTGCCCAGCATGGTGGCAGCACACATTACAGAGCCAGAACAACCCCACAATGGTCATTGTGTAGTGCAGACATCCATGCAAGTGAGTTCTGTCCTACCACCCTAAAACATGCTGCTTTGCTGATGCAGACACAAAAATCAGTTTAACCCGTCAGTTCTCTCACTGGAATAGCTGGTGGCTGGGGAGGGAGGTCCACCTCCGTCTCAGCTTCCCAGGGCTGCTCCTGAAACAGTATGAAACATATTTGCTGCCTCTAATTTCAATTCCAGGCCAGAGGTGTCTCGCTGGGTGATGGACCTTCCCAGCATGTCTCAGGCAGTAAGTTCCCAGGAGCAGGGGTTGTCTTTGGTTCAATACAGGGTCCTCCCACAGCTGGACTCAGAGGTACTAGGGGAATGCAGTCAAAGCCTCATCCAATTTACAGTTTATTCCTGCATTAAGTTTGGTATTCATGTTTAAAGAGTAGCACAGATTGAAAAGTTACAAACCATTAGAACGATGCTACAGATTTACCTGTAAGAGGTTGTGGAAATTATATAGAATATGCTGAGACAAAAATCCAAAATACGTTACTGATCATGAAGCCGATCACGGATGCCGAGGTGCTTCTTTCCTGTGTTTCAGCAAGCAGTTCACTATACTCCATTTTTACAGACATCTCTGCTGTAACCAGACATGTAAGATTTGATTGTTCTTTGATTAACCTGCATTAACTATGCAAAGCAAATTCCTGAAGAAGTCAGCCCCTTGCTACTAACTTAAGCAACTGATGGTCCTGCCTTTTTAGTTTTCTTCCAGAAATCCAGCGAACGCAAAATTTGCATTAGTCACAACTGCGCTGTTGTGACTGCAGCCCTTAGGTCTTGGAGGCAAAGATTTCGACCTGCAAAACCCCTCCCTCCAGCCACTGTCAGGTGGCATAAAACACTTGCAAGGCTTAAATTATTGAAAAGTCACAACCTGCAAGAGTGGAACAAACAGATTTACTGGAGCAGAAAAGCAGGAGCAAACACCAAGGAACGAGGCATCCGAGGACTGAAGTTCCCCCTGCTTCCCCTAAGTAAATTTTGACCCCCTTCCCTCTCGGAAAATCACGGTGAGTTGTACCTAGTTCTGCCACAGCCGCTGCACAGGCTGACAGAGCGAATTTGCTGGCTCGGGGCCATCTCTCTGGAAGAGGTAAGCTCTTCTCTTCTTCTGCAGGTGACATCTAGCGCCTAACATGAAACAAGGCTAACCAGGCACCCTGCGAGGGTCTGGAGGAAAAGCAGACCCTAGCTCAGCTCTGCTCTGCGTCCTTTTGGAGACCGATTGCTGAAGGTCATGTTTCTCCAGAGCCAGCACCAGGAACCGCAGTAGCACAAGTGCCTCCTGCAGAGCTGCGAGATCCTTGTGCAGTGACACAACAGATTCCAGCACAACAGGCTCCTGGGAAATGTAGTCTGTCACCAATGCTACACTGCCAGGAAAGCAACAGTGCAGGTACAGTCACATGCACAATTTTGCCAGTTATTTACATTAAAAAAAAAAAACACAAACAAATCATTAGAGACCTCAAGATTAGATGAACACTTGTGGGATCTGTTTGCTTTATGGGGTGATGTCATTGACAGCAACACCTCGGGAGCCCCAGACTGCGTTCCTGTGCCAAATGGCTGCACAACCAAGATGGATGGATTGATCCGGATCTGGTTTAATGGAAGCTGCATTAGCAACAGCTACATGCAGAGCTGGGGAACTAACTTCGTAGCGCTGGTAACAGTTCACATCCCCTGGGGATTAGGCACACAGCAGTGCAGTTTGAGCCAGAGGCTCACAAACCTGGGAAGACAGAAGCTGGTTTCTGCCCAAAGCCCTGTATGTGAAAAGTTTAAAGCTTTTCCTGGCTCAATGCTGAAGCCCTGTTAATTGTGCGCCAGTCCTAATTGCTCTTTAATTAATGTAGGCATATTTAGGTTCTCATCACAAAAAAAAAAAAATAGTAAAGCAGGTGCTGTTCAAGAGAATCTTTTCATTTATTATTAAGGCTCAGCTGAATCACTAAGTTAATCATTAGCTATTAATCACTAATCCTCATGCTGAGGATTTGAGGATTTTTCAGGTCACAGAAACTTATGCCAGGACACCCCCCACTCCTGTGTGACTGACTAACATTTTGGTGCACAGTCCTGGTCACAACGATTCAGACAAACAAAGGGATCACTGCAGGTGAAATATTCAGCTCAAATGAGATAAACTTATCTCGCCAGTCACCAGTAACCAGTTTTAAGTTGGATCCTTCTTTGGGTTAGAATTTGTTAGAATTCAGGCAGTAATGGGACAAACCACTGACAAAACCCTGATTAAAATGAGAAGAAGGAATTTAACGCACGCTTGCCCGGCTGCACTGAGGCTACGAGCAGCCCAGAGCCTCACTTTAGGCACTTTATGCAATCTGCTGTTAGGGCTTTTGTACCTCCCTCCATAGCTATTTTCTGGGCTTGGATCAGCTTGTGCCACTATATATCAGCCTGTATATCATCGATTCGTAGAGTAATTTAGGGTGGAGAGGACCTCTAGAGGTCATCCAGTGCAATCCTCTGCTCAGAGCAGAGATAGCTTCAGAGTTATATCAGGTTGCCCAGGGCCTTGGTTGGTCACCTTCTAAGAACCTCCAAGGATGGGAATTTCACAACCGCAGCCGGCTCCAGTACTTAACCACTTTGTGAACATTTTTTCTACATATTCAGTCAGAATTTCTCACATTGCATATTACGTCCATTGCCTCTCATCTCGTAGATGTACACCTTTGGGGATGGTCTCACTCTGTTTTCTCTAAAGCAACGCTTTAGGGGGTGAAAGACAACAACTAAATCCTTCCTTAAAGTAAACCCTGTAGCATTGTGGCATCCTAGGGAGAGAGAAGCTCTCCATGGTCATTTTTAGTTTGGGGAAATAAGTTCTTTTTTAAACCAGGCTTATTGGAGGATGGCAGTGAGGAGGAATTTTCTCTTCCCACAGGATATTTGAAATGAGCCTGACATGGAGATGGACGCTTGCGTGGAGATCTCTGTGATTCATGGAGCAGTGAAGGGCCACTTCCACACACGCAAAGAAACCAATCGGACCTCTCTGAACTCTTGTCTTCTGACATTGCAGTGATATTATAGGGGCCACCAGCAGGTTTTTAATTGTCAGTTCGACCTCCAAATCCTTTCTCTGCTCCTCAGACACTGGACACACATCTAGCCTTTAATGAGATGATCTCAAACAGGTGAGAGGTAACTTTCATAAGCCTTGCTGCTTCAGATGATGCCTGCAGAGGTTTCTTGACATCTACCTGACTGAAAGCTAAATATCTGCAAATCACAGCCTCTCTGCTTTGTAATCCTGATATCATAGAATCATAGAATCATAGAATGGTTTGGGTTGGAAGGGATCTTAAAGATCATGTAGTTCCAAACCCCTGCCATAGGCAGGGGCACCTTCCACTAGACCAGGTTGCTCAAAGCCTCATCCAACCTGGCCTGGCCTTGAACACTTCCAAGGTTCCACATATTGCCAAAAAATATTTTTTTTTAACTGAAGAAAGTGATGCACTGTTTTGCCCCAGTGTCCCTGGCTGCTCGGGTAGCCTTCCAGAAACTGGTGCAAAGTTCAAGGATTTGTCACAGCAACATCTACGTTTTGCAAGCCATGGAGTTGGTCCTCATCCCAGAGCAGAGGAAAATTGGCTCTTCCTTTACCAAAACAAGCACTTGTCCCCTGGTCTGCTTGATGTTTTGACATCATGTCTCCATGGCAGTGATCAGCTAGCAAGACTGATAAAAGAGGCCCTATTCACTGACTCTGGTAATCCCGGCCAGCACGGTCGTGCCGGGCGGGCGGCCCAGCCACTGCGGCAGGCAGAGAAGAGGCAAAATGGCTCTTGCTCTCCTCTTGGCAGCGATCCTGGGACTTCTTGTTGTCAAGGCTGTTTTTTTTCAGCTGAGAAACCCGAGCTCCCCTCCTTGCATCAAGAGCTGGATCCCTTGGTTTGGAGCTGCGTTTCAGTTTGGGAAAGCTCCTCTGGAGTTTATAGAGCAAGCTAGAAGCAAGGTAATGGCTGTGGCGGCGTGCCTGCTTGTGAGCGCGTGTTCAGGGTGGCTGCCTGCAAGGGGAAAGGCGAGGAGAAACTTCTGGATTAGGTTTGCTCCTGTCCTGTCACGTTTTATAACGCCAGGAGCATTTAGCTGGTGAAGGATCGTCTTTGTACCAGTAACGTTGCTAAGTTGTGGATCCGATCCAGGCGTGATCTCTGTGCTGTAATCATCCTGTTTGGACCCAGCACCCCTGCTGTTTTGCTTTTGCAGTCTGGCTACGTGTTAATACAGGTTTCAAACAATGTGGAAAGCCCTGTGCCAGGCGCTGGGACCAGGAGACTAATTATTTCTGCGCCTAAAGTTAGGTGAGATTTCTGAGTACCAGCTGGTGTCCCTCAACATTCAAGAGAGACACAGGGATGCTTGGCAGGCAACTTTTTGCATCCTAAAAAACTTAACCAAAGACGAATGTGAAGATTTACACCCTGGACATGCCTTTCTTTCTCCATGTCTGTCTGATAGAGAGAGCTTAAATGATTAATTTAGATCAGATGCTTAATTTCTAGGCAGCTAATACTAACTGACATAAACATCAGCTTCCCGTTTTCATTTGGTGATCATATCACTCGCTACTGATGCAGTGTAGTAAGCTTCAAGGGTTCAATATTGAAGGATCACACAGACCACTACTTTCAAAAACTAGCTCAAAATGAAACCCTTGTAATGTCCTGAAATTTGAAAAAAAATATATAATAATTATGGGATGTTTAGAATTTTCTTTTTCATTTTGAACTATTAGATTTTGTATTTGTAAGTACATCTTTGCTGCCATGGCTGTTAAACTTGGCATGTTATATTGAAGCAGAGGTTCAAGTATAATTAGGTGAAATATGAGGTGTAAGAGCATCAAGAACTGTCAATCACACATTGAGTGCACCGTAGAGTAAGCTTATGTGTATGATCTGGAGTTCCTTGGCTTCTTTGAGCTTAACAGACTGGTTTTAACCTTATATTGCTATTTCTTTCCTATATCTTTCATCTGTGCGTACCATCAGTTATTTGTTGATTCATCTTAAGGCAGAAATATAGGACCGGAAGAAAACTCATTTCACTCCATTCTCCTACTATTTCAGAAACTATGCCATATAATCCTTTAAATAAATCAATCAAGCTTCACTCAAAAAAAAACCCCACCATAATATTTCTTTAAAAAAAACCAATCATAATATTTCTTTGATTCTTCTGATACGCGGCTGTTAGAGACCCTCCTTGTTCTCTTGAAAACATATCCTGGTGGCAACCAGATTAAAGTGGTCCGCCAAGCTGTCCTTTCCAGTGCAATCCCTTTTGGGGAGAGATATTTCGCCATCACTTAAGTTTGCTTTAGTTGCCTTTCTTCCCAGGAAGCTTTTAGCAAAATCTTTTAGGTGAAATTGTAACACAAACCTGACAGAAGAGTCTTTTTTGGGAGTTCATTCACAGATTGAATGAAAAAGCCTTTTACATACTAAAGAGTGTGTTGAAGTACAAATGCAAACTTAGTGGCTCTGGGTCCATTAATTTTGATGTTCATTTGCCTGGAGACCCTTTAGGCCGCTCTTGGTGCTCTCCTGCCACACCTGAATGCACCAGAAACACCTGAAGGACTTCATAAACCCCAGGTTTTGTTGGGACAGAAGCTAGAACAAGAAACATTACCAATGGGAGAATACTCAAAATAAGGCAAAGAGAAGGCTTTCTTACACATCTCCCCTTTACTGTGTGTTTGCAGATAGGACCTTTCCTTTGACTTTTTGCTTAGTCCAGCAATTCAGCGTCCTGTGACTTGTGACCTCTTCCTGAGGTCACCCTGGGCCAAGAGGGACCGTTGCATCTGTCCCCCCCAGGCTGGCTGCCTGCCTGCAGAACAATCATCCGGCAGCGTCCCTGTCCCTGAGGAGGGCTTCTCTCCTGTTCTTCCCTCTCCTCATCTTAAACACCCCAGGCACGTCTCCCTCCCTTCCCACCTCCTACATTGGCACAATGTGCTGAGGCCAGGAAAGATCAGCCTTTTCCTGCCTGCTCCCTTTTAAAGGAGTAGACACTGTAGCATAGTACAGCCAAATAATACATGTGCTGCTGCCAAAGGGATCATTAACAGGCATTACAAGGGTTGCAAAATACACCTGCAATAATTCCAAGCTTGTTAATATTGCCAGAACAGGGTTAAGTGTCCTTAGCGTGAGCAAGCTGCCCTTGTAAAAGTTAGTGCAGAAGCAGGCTCTAGGCAGTGTGAAACTTCTGCAGCTCCCTGGGGTCATTGCCTTCAGGGGAGACTTTTGCAATTAGAAAGTTCCTCCCCTGAATTAATCCTTCAGTCTGTCAAAGTGACATTCATTTGTTTTTCTTTCTGAAAGACTTAGCTTTCTTATTATTGTTCTCCAGCCTGCACTTTACTTAAAGTTCACTGCTTCTGTTTTCCTCCTACAGAAGATGATGTGGGCTGGAATAATTGTCTGGTTTTCCACTTGTGTCATCAGCGGGTCTAAGAAAAGAAAGATCCTCTGCTCTAATAAAATATTTAATCTCTGGTAAAATAAAAGATACCACCTCTTCCTCCTAAAGCTGCCTGAAGCAGTTTTGCAGGCAGTGTGGGATGGGCAGGGTGGGTAACCGGAGCCACGATGCAACGTAAAATGCATGTAGAGGTGCTTAATGAGAGGTTCAAAGGATGCGGTTCCCTACTTCGCCTGACAAACATGTTAAGAGTTTATAAGGGATTTCAAGTTCTTCTCATCAGTTTGCTAATTAAGCTAAGAAGAGAAGTTCAGTTAAACGCGTGAGATTGTTCGGCACTGTTGTATGCTCCTGTGGATCCATACATTGCTCTCAGAGTGTTGATGGTGTTTGAGACATGGTGCCCTGTCTCAGGACTCAGCTGGATGCCTCTCAGCCTTATTTGCTGTGTGTGGTTGCATGAGGGATGGCTCCCTGGGTTGTGGGGCAAGGGATGTTCGTCCTGCATGAGGTTTGGTGGAGGTGAAACAGTCTGGAGAAGAGGACAAGGCTTCTGGTGGAGCATTTCTGAAGACAGTGTACACAGCTGAGTCGCTAATGGTCTGTGACCCCCAGTTCCATGCACAGAAGGCAAAAATGCTGATGTCCCTGAGACAGAGAGGGGACATGGCATTGAACTCACGTGTGTGTGCATGCCAAGGCAGAGAAAACCTGCCCAGTGCCCTAGCTCCCAACATGAGTCTTGACAGGACTGCAGCCAAGAGTGGTTGCTCCCTGCCTGTCAGTGCCCCAGAAAAAATGGCTGTTTCCCTGATTTCCTTCCTTTGGGACTTCGGAGAACATCCTTCTGAAGTTTTTATTTCTCTAGAGTGTTACTTTCATGTAGGCTCAGATCTGCCTCTTATCATGCCACTGCTGTTTTGTGCAGCGTTCCCCAGTCTTTGGAAAAAACGAGAGCTTTCATGAGTGAAAGCAGCTTCAGAGGCCCTAAATCCTAAAAGGTTTTTTGTTTTGCCTTCTATATCTCTATACATCACTGGATCTCCTTAAACACTGTTTCAGACAGAGCAGGAAGCTGGGGTGCAGTGTTGGCAGGCAATGTCCACGCTGCGGTGGTACCTGCTCGTAACACAACCATGGTAAATGCAGAACTGCGTGACAGCTTCTTCCAGTAGCTAATGTCGTGACATTAGAACATCAGCATAATTATACTGAGACAGATGGAAAGTGTGTTTATTCAGGTGTCTGTGTCACATAGCAGCTATTATAGATGCTCAGTACCAAGGTGTAAGGAGCACACCCAGACGAGAGTATGCCTGCCGCCTTCCGCTTTTCCTTCCAGGCTTCTGGTCATCAACAGTTTAGGAACTTCCTAGGCTGGAATTTGCATCCAGATGACCTGATTATGATAACCTAATCTCTTTGTTACCCCATGTATAATTTTGGCTTTTACCGTGAACCATAGGAAGAAAACATTCTGCCTGGTTTTAAACCAGGTAACTTCTAATAAGTGCCCATTAGCTTTTACATTAAGAGAAACTGGGAATTTCTCTTTTTTCACCTTTCCAGGAATCTAAGTCCACTTAATCTCCTTTTCTTGAAACTCGTTCATGCTTGCTGTCCATCTGTTTGCCTTTCTTAGTTCAGTATATCCTGCTGAGATGGAATAGGCAGAGACACCCATTAAGTTGAAGGTGTGAGCACAGGATGGGTTTAGATATTTGCTCTCCTTTCTCTTCTCCTTTCCTAGCAAGATGAGAGCTCTAAGTTAATTATTAACACTTTTATAATGGATCTTGGAGTCATTTCAGAATGTGATTCTTGTAGGCCTTCTTCTTCTGTAAGATTTCTAGGTCTCCTCAAAGTTTAGACTCCCAAATGACTCTAGATTAAGATCAAACTTTTAATTCCTTCTTCTAAGGAATGAGTTAGGAATATGTTTAAGGATACACATCCTTATGTCTTCCTGAAAGCTTTATTGGGCTCTTCTCCAGTACATCCTGTTTAACCACTACTAATTCTGGTCTTTACTAATACTTGTAAAAATTTACTGAGTACTGGGATGTCTTTGAGTCCTCCCAAGTCCTTCTTCAGGAGGATCTTAGAAGAGCACCACATTTGCCTGTCCAACCTCCTGTTGCTGAGGGTGACTTAACAGCTCATGGTAGGCAGTTTTGCAACTTCATATTTTAATTCCTGTATAATTTTGAAGTGAAATATTTATCACTGATTTACGTGGCGCTTGTTCAAGTCTATTCTACTTAATACTTCCTTTGAAACAAAGTCTCAGTCCATCACTCACAGTGAAAGGCTCCAGAGTGGGACATGTCTTAAACTGATGTCATTGCTAACTCAGATTGATTCCCCACTTGAGTTCTTTACACCTTGAGCATTTATCAGGCTCAGCAACACACTGGAGACTCCCTGCATCTGGTATGTTTGGAAAAAGTCTTTATTATTGGAGGTGAGGATTGTCATTAGCAGTTTGAGCTTCAAGCCTTTTTCCGTATTTTAGTTTTACATGCAACTTATCAGATATCATATTAATTTGTAGTTTTCTTTTTGGATACAAAATTCTGCTTTCTGAAAGTGTCTTTGAATACCCAGACTGTGCTGTTCAGCTAATCTGACTTGTTCTGGAGGTCCTCTAGAGAGCTTTTTTATTTTGCTTTTCTTTAACATTGGTTTAATTTTGATAATTTAAAATAAATTGTAGTAAATTGGATGAGATTCAAAACCAGGTTGTTTGTGTAGGTGTTTACAGGTTAGCGAGATGTCCAAGCTTTACTGATGGTCAGTGGACACGTAATCGGCCCTATCAGTGGAGGCTAAGAGCAGTTCAGCTCACCTTCAGAAAGAGAGATGTACAGTAGCTGGTCAGAGGAATCGTTTGTTAGGCTCCACAGACTGTATGGATCGATCTCAGTTGTCTGTAATGGGACCTTAAGGCATCTTGCTCACCTGTAATCATTTAAAAGAAAGTGTTCCAATCTTTAACTGGGTGCGACCTTAATTAAATAATTCAGTGTTATTGCAGGTTGCTATTAGTTTAAATTTAATTTTGTTTTTAAATTAGTTTAAGTACCTTTTAATTTTCATTTAAAATGAAAAAAATCTGATTTTAAAACAAACACAGTACAAATTCACTGATTCTTATCCAGTCTGATGATGAGGACATTCTGTTATTCATAAAAAAACAACCTTCGAAATTTAGCCATTATTAAAACAATATTTTATTTATTATCACCCAGGGAGATTAAACAGTCATTCTTTCTTTAATAATTTACAGTTGAAGGACACAATCAAAATTCAATAGATGTCAAGAGAAATCTTTTCCTTGGCTTCAAAGAGCTTTTGATGTAGCAGGGTTCACGACACAGACACAGACCACAGAAGAAATGGTTAAAGTCAGTGGCATAACCTGTGTGAGCAAGGTGGATTCAAGGCTTATCAGTACTCCGGGCAGATAACAGAAAACTTCTTCTCACCCTTGTCAGCAATGTAACCTGGAAAAGAAATCAAGTTCCTTGATGCGTGTGGAGACTTCATGAGAAAGCCTCAAACCTTTCCATGTGTACAGTAACTGCCAAAAGACTGATGTGCATATAACTAAATGCTGAGGGTTTGATTTCCAAGGCTTTTGCCTGTCAGCAGAAACCACCCTCACTAAGAAGAAGATGCTGAAGATGCTTCATTTCCTGATTTTGTTTGGTTTGTTGTTTTTTTTTTTTATGCCTAAATCTGCCAGCCAGTAGATACTGCAGGTTTATTTGTTAATTTAGAGTCTCTACAGATACCAGTGATCTTTTTCACAATTGTCCTAATTGTCCTAATCGTCCTGGGTTTGGCTGGGATAGGGTTAACTTTTCACAGGAAAACTGGGAGGGAACACAGCCAGGGCAGCTGACCCAAACTAGCTAGGGGCCTGTTTGATACCATATGACGTCATGCTCAGAATATCTGTTGGGGGAGATAGCTGGGGAGAGCATTGGTGATCAGAGTGGGCCGAGTTCCGGATTCCGTTCCAGGTTCTGCGTGGTAAGTAATTCTACCACTCGTTTTGTATTGTTCTTTTATTAGTATTATTGTGGTTATTATCCCTTCTCATGTTTTTGTACTGTCCTATTAAACTGTCCTTATCCCAACCCACAAGTTTTACCCTTTTCTGATTTTCTCCTCCCATCCCACTGAGAGAGGATTGAGCAAGCGGCAGTGTGGCTGCTTAGGTGGCTGCTTAGCTGCTGGCTGGGCTAAACTACGACGATAATGTAGGAATTCAGAAGTGAATACTTATTACTGAAAGTTTTGAGAGGGCTCTAGGATATTAGAATCATAGAGTCATTTAGGTTGGAAGAGACCTTGAAGATCATCTAATTCGACCATTAACCTAACACCGTCAAGTCCACCACTAAACCATGTCCCTAACCACCACATCTGCATGGGTTTTAAATACCTCCAAGGATGGTGACTCAACCACTTCCCTGGGCAGCCTGTTCCAATGCTTCACAACCCTTTCAGTGAAGAAATTTTTCCTAATATCCAATCTAAACCTCCTCTGGTGCAACTTGAGGCCATTTTCTCTTGTCCTATCGCTTGTTACTTGGGAAAAAAGACCAACACCCACCTCGCTACAACCTTGTTTCAGGTAGTTGTAGAGAGCAATAAGCAATGAGCAATCTCCCCTCAGCCTCCTTTTCTCCAGGCTAAACAACCCCAGTTCCCTCAGCTGCTCCTCTTGAGTCTTGTGCTCCAGACCCTTCACCAACTTTGTTGCCCTTCTTTGGACACACTGCAGCTCCTCAATGTCTTTCTTGTAATGAGGGGCCCAAAACTGAGCATGGTATTCAAGGTGTGGCTTCACCAGTGCTGAGTACTGAGGGACAATCACTTCCCTAGTCTTGCTGGCCAAATTTCTGATACAAGCCAGGATGCTATTGGCCGCCTTGGCCACCTGGGCACACCGCTGGCTCATATTCAGCCAGCTATCAACCAACACCCCAGGTCCTTTTCTGCCTGGCAGCTTTCCAGCCATGCTTCCCCAAGCCTGTAGCGTTGCATGGGATCTTTGTGACCCAAGTGCAGGACCTGACACTGAGCCTTGTTGAACCTCATACAATTGACCTTGGCCCATCGATCCAGCCTGTCCAGATCCCTCTGTAGAGCCTTTCTACCCTCAAGCAGATTACTCCTGCCCAGCTTGGTGTTGTCTGCAAACTTACTGAGGGTACACTCGATCCCCTTGTCCAGATCATTGATAAAGATATTAAACAGAACTGGCCCAAATACTGAGCCCTGGAGAACACCACTGGCGACTGGCTGCCAACTGGATTGAACTCCGTTCACCACAACTCTTTGGGCCTGGCCGTCTAGCCAGTTTTTTACCGAGCAAAGTGTATGCCTGTCCAAACCATGAGCAGCCAGTTTCTGCAGGAGAACACTGTGGGAAACGGTGTCAAAGGCTTTACTAACGTCTAGGTAGACAACATCCACAGCCTTTCCCTCATCCACTAAGCGGTCTTATTAGATAAGGGAAAATGAAAGAATGCTTTATGGCATCAAAAATCTTCCCTGAATATAAGTCTCAAGAAACTCAATCTATTCTGCTCAAAGCTTGTTAGCTATTTTGATATTAATCCTTAAAAGCCTGTAGAAGAAGAAATTGTTGGTATTAGCAGAACCTTTAAAATAGGAAGAAAAAAACCCCAAACATTAAGAAGATGCAGGAGTGAGGAGTTTTTGTTTAAAAAAAAAGTAGATTGAAATAGGTAGAATTATGGATTTTTACAGTGTGGGTACTTTGCTGTGGCAGTCAAGGGATGCAGCAAATAATCCATCACTTGGGTTCTTTAAATCCAGGTAGGTTGTATTGTTTGAACTGTAACGTAATTCAAATAGAAAATATTAATCTCAGGGAAGGAATCTCTTCTACTCTGCTAAAGGTCAGGAAGGCCCCTGTGATGTTCCCTTCTGGTCCCTAAGACTACAAATTTTGGTCTGATTCGTGTTCATCTTCGTGCACTTCTGAGCCAAGGTGTAGAGAGAGCAGGAAGGACCAGGTCCTCCCTCCTGACCTCTCAGCATTACTGAAGTCCTATTGGGGCTCCTTCCAAATGTGTTAACAATACAGTAATATGAAATCTTTCTGTGTTTCAGCATGGGCCTGTATTCACAATATTCGCCCTGGGAAAACGATTTACTTTTGTGACTGAGGAAGAAGGAGCTGAAGTATTTTTTAATTCTAAAGACTTAAATTTTGAACAGGCAGTACAACCAGCTGTTGAGAATGCAGGTAAATGAGACCTAGCTCTTTTTTTAATGGAAATCAAATCTAGTTACCCAGGAACACCAAAGCCCAATCCAAAGCCCTTTGGCTTTTTCATCATGTCTTAAATGCTAATCTTAACCCATGACCATGCTACAAAATGAAGGGGAAATTAAATTCCCTCATGTAGATCTAGCACTGTAAGCCTGCTAAGTGATTTATATTCAGTCTCGAGGAATCAAAGGTTTCTGATCCAAGCACTGTTATTGCTTTTATCATCAAACAACCTCAGTTTGAGATCGGGTCCTTTTCTGAGCTAGGCACTCCACCTGTATCTACCAGGACTGGAGCAATAGTATGTTGTCCTATCACAAAATCTGAAAATTAGCTTGTAGCAATAATTGGTTGTTACCCCGTAGTACAACAGTCATTAGAAAGAAATGAGATATATGTCACATCTGCAATGGCATGCTCTGTCATGTGCTTTTGTCTACGTGGAATCGCAGACAGGAGTTCTTTGAGTAGTTTGGCAATTTTGGACTGCGAAATGAGAGAGAAGCAAGTTGGCAGAGAGATTAAATCACAGAATCCCTGAATCCCTGTGGCTGGAAGGCAATGCTGGAGATCACCTAGTGCCAGCCCCTTCTCGGAGCAATGTCAGCGACAGCAGGTTGCTCAGGGCTGTGTCCAGTTGGGTTTTGAGAATCTCCAAGGTTGGAGACGCCACGACCTCTCTGGGCAACCTGTTCCTGTGTTTGACCATCCTCACAATAAAAACTTTCCTATGTCTCAGTGGAATCTCCTGTATTCCCATTTGTGCCCATTGCCTCCTGCCCTGAGAAGAACCAGGCCTCATCTTCTTTAATCCCACCACTCAATATTTATCCACACTAGTAAGATCCCTCTGAGCCTTCTCTTCTCCAGGCTGAACAGTCCCAGCTCTCTCCGCCTCTCCTGGCGTGACTAAGAGGATGTACTATAGCATGAAGACCCAAACTGTTTTTTCTTGGATTAATTTCTTTTTCATTTCAGTTGGTTTTGTGGAGCTCATGCACATCTCTGTACATCCACATGGAAGCTTGGGGGGAAATCTCTGGATTGTTGATTCTGGCAATGAAGCTTCATGAGGCAGGAAGATGTTACGTGGACTGGTAGAAGCAGAGGGCTCACAAATATCTTTACAGGGTTAGAAGGAAGCTTTCTGGGAATTTCACTCTAGGAAAATTAGGGTTAAGACATTTAAATTAGTCACAAGTTATGTGCAAAAATTTTCAGTGAAAATCTACTTAATCTACTTTCCAAATAATTTCTGTTTCTTTTTGTATTTAGTTTCTGTCCCTGCAGAATCATTTTATCAGAACCATAATAACCTCTACAGCATGATGAAGGGAAAAATGGGTCCTTCTAATCTGCACATGTTCACAGGCCCTTTGTGTAAGGAACTGCATGAGCACCTGGCACACCTGGGTGCAGAGGGCACAGGTGACCTGAATGACCTGGTAAGGTAAGGGAGTTTTGCAGCACATCTCTATCGGATGGGTATCCTATGTGGAAGTAGAGATGCTACCATAAAGCAGGTGGAGTTCAGGATCACAGGTCTTAGAAAAGCTACGTCAGGATACTCATCACTGCTTCACAGTTTCAGGTGGCTTACAGAGCAGACAGGGTTTCCTCTAAAGGTGTTTCTCCCAGCTAGGAGAAACATCTGAATTACCTGTTTGGAATGAAAAAGAAAACACAGCATCTTCCAACAAACCCAGTTTCCCAAAAGACAAGATAAAAGCTTCACATGTTTATAAAGAACTTATGAACAGACAAAATGCTTGATCTGAAAACTTTTCCTAGACATTTTGGACCAAGCCTGGCCCAAAATTAAAGACGACTTCTGCAACTGACTTCACTGCCAGAATTTCATTATTCAATGTGAAAAAAATCCCTTAACTGACAGTTTAATGTGACAACAACAGAGCTTTTAACTCCTCTTTCCTCCTGATCGCCTAGGATAACCCTTGTATATTGCCTGTCCATCAGGACTACAGTGGCCTTTGCCTTGGACCTGTTTCTAAGACTTCGCATCCAGGTTGTCTTTTGCTGACTTTTTCTGAATAACACATCTAAGATACAGATTTTTACTGCAGCTAAAACTCTGAGCACCTGTCATTTCAATTACTGCAGTTTGGATTAGCTGGGGAAAAAGGTGGGGGAAAGGGGCTTTGAAACCTCCCAGCCCCGAGTCCCGCTAGTCTCAACGATGGGATGCAAACTGCCACATCCCATAGTCTTTCTCCACCTGTCTTCTGAGATCAAAGTCACATTTGCTTCCAGTCTTAGGCTAGATGATAAACCTCAGAATCTGTAAGACACATCCACAGTAAATCTGTGCTGAGTGTGATCTGTTCTTACGAGTTTGCCAAACAAGTCAGGGTAAAAGAACTGGAATGCAATGCCCTGCATAACTGTGATTTGGTTGCCTCAGAATTAAATCCGTAGAGCCAGCAGGTGGCTCCAGCTTCCTTATGATATTTTGAAAAGCAAGAAAGTGAAAGAGCTATTGCTTGAAATACATATTTAGCAGTAGCTGGAACCCAGGAAAGACTGCATCGGGGTTTCTTGGAGCTCAAGAGTACAGGTGAAGTGGCCTGGGAAAGGAGCTCAGAGTTTGCAGGATAACAGAGGAGCCAATACGGAAGGAGTGAGATAAACAAAAAAAAAGCACTGTTCAGTCCCAGAAAAGCTGCAGGCAGAAGAAGAATTTCTTGGAGTGCGTGGTTGCAAAAGGAGTTGTGTGGTGCTCAGAAGGTCCACATGGGCTGACCTGAGATAAGGGGGGTGGTTAATGGGGAGAAGGGGACCTCAGTGCCCAGAGCCTTTCTGCCACTTCTGAAGTGATTAAACACTAAGTGATGAAGTTCAGCTACATGCAGAGGACTAGCCTGAGGTCCATGTAAAATGGTTAAAATCTGGGATACGGGTGTGAGTGAGGTACAAACCTTGTGCCAGCTCTTCCATACTGGCGTGACACTTGAGTCCCACACTTGTAGTGCTGGCAATTCAGCATGCCGTGTCCTGACCTAAAACTGCTGCAAGAGCTTCCCTACATCCTGTAAGTCATGGGGATCTTGTTCTTGCAGGCGTGTCCTGTACCCAGCAGTGGTGAACACTTTGTTTGGGAAAGGCATCTGCCCGACAAGTCAGAGTGAAATCAAGGAGTTTGAAGAACATTTTCAGAAGTACGATGAGGACTTCGAATACGCTTCTCAGATGCCCGAGTGTTTCCTGAGGTAATAGAGTGGAGATGATGCACGTGGTCTACCTGTTACAGGCTTTTTGTTTGCTGGGATATCAACCACGAGAGACATTTTCCCTGGAGGATGATGTGCTGTCTATCGATGGTGTGTCCTTGGGTCAGGCAGGCTTTCAGCTAGGTCTTCAAAAAAGTTCTGATCTTGTCTTGTGTTTTCGCAGCATAAAGCAGAAACAACCTTGCTTAGGTGGGCAGGGTCCAACTTGGACCTGTCAGAGAGCAGCAGAACTGGGCAAAGGGCAAAGGTCTGATCCTAAATGTGACCCCTAAGCTGAGGGGGTCCCCAGTGATGCATCTCTTTGCTCTTACCCACACCTTAGCAGACTGGTCCCAGGTTACATGGCTGCGCTGTCACAGAGCTGACCTTAGGTAGAGGCAACCAAACTCCAAGGAAGGGAGCTTGTCAGTGCTCTCAGGGCCATGACAACATCTTGAGCACCTCAAAATGGCCTTGAGAAGGAACTAAGAATGCTCTAAAAATGTGGCCTTTATTTTCTCATGGGAGGTCCCAGGACCGACCTAAGCAATTGTCCAAAGCCACAATGAAAACTTGTAGTGGAATAGATTTGAAAATCTAGAAGACTTGCAGTCACAGGTCCTGGCTGCAAGATGAGGTCTGGCCAAGGTGAAGGTCTCAGACGTGCTGTTCCTCACGTCAGTCAACCCTACTGTCAGTCAGACTGACACTTGACTATTCATCAACTGGCTGCTGCCCAGGGGCTTTTGTAAAGAAACCAAGGAGTCCTTCTCACGGAAAAGGAAATGTTGATTTGTGCTGCCTCAGTTAAGTGCTTCTTGTTTGATGCTTTTCTTTACAGGAACTGGTCGAAATCCAAAAAATGGCTTCTAAAATTATTTGAGAAAGTAGTGTCAGATGCTGAAAGAACCAATCCTTCAGAGACCACATCCAAGGTAAATGTCCAAGGCTATGAAATAAGATGACTTTGTTGTATAGTCTGACTGAAGGAATGGAGGGCAGGAATTATTTCAGTACTGGAAGAAATAAGCCAAATATGTCAGCTTTGATAGCCGTACCTTAATTGTCCAGTATTGCTGTCACCTACGTTAGGACGGACTCATAATTTTGAGTCTTACTCCTCAATTTAGTTTATTTCCTGCAATTCTGAGAGTTGACATCTTCCTCTGGGGAATTTTAAGCCAAGGTTTCAGAGCTGTGACCCATCACCATCCTCCGGTACCGCAGTTGCAGGGAGCAGTTGAAAGAGGTGAGAGAAAGACCTCTTCAGTTGTTTCTCTGAGGGCACCGCGCTGTGAAATTTCAAAACCTTACATGTACTATTTTTAAACCCTGGTGTAGAGTGAGTAGATCCTCCAGCAGCCAGACTGGTAGAAAATAGCAGATTACTGAATTGGAAGCCAAGTACCCTAAATATTGATTGTGTCAAAGCTGTGATAAGTTGTCCCCCTGGTTATTTTCCTTAGTTATGGCAGGAATTCTGTCTATACAACTGACAAACATGAGGGCAGAGTGGCCTGGGAATTTTGATCTACCAAATGACTATAGAACAGATCATTAAACAAACCAGGTTTTATTTAGACTTTAAAAGCTTTACATACCACAATTTCTTTCATAAAATAAACTAGAATACCAGAAAGAAAGAGAGGGCTGGAGAGGGGACGGTGGGAGGTAAGAAGGTGAAGGAAGTAGGAGGCATGAACTCAATGTCTTAGATTGGACGGGAATTTGGAAAAAAGAGCCGTCATTTTTTGTTCAAGGTCAGCCTTTTCCCCTCTGAAAAGTAGACAGGAAGCTTTGCCTTGAAAGCATGGTTGCCCTATATTTAAGGAAACACTATAAACAAAAGCCGAGCCTAGGACATTACACAGTTGCTATAGTTTCAAAGAACATCAAGCCGTTGAAATCACGGGTTAGGTCACTAACAAAGCACCTGGACCTGATATATCAGACCATTTCTTCATCACAAGCACCTTTTGGGCAGGAACAGAGAGAACTTTTTCTTCATTTCCATTCATTCAGCTTGTTCAGTCCCATTTTCAGGTTCTTTAAAGTAGACAAGTAGAGCAGGAATTAAAAAAGAATCGATTTTTTTTTTTTTTCTTCCACATTCAAGCAACAATGGGGAGTGAGGGAACCAAATCCCCTAAAAACTTTAAGAAAATGGAGGGCAGTGCAAGTATTCAGTAGGAATTCACATGGCACATTGACTTCTTGTGGCTGCCTATGAGTGAGCCTCACTTTCTTTTAACAGCTTTCATCTCTCTACTTTGTGACTACAAACAACCCATAACTAACATTATTTCTCCTTGATAAACTAGTCTTTTGTTACATCCTTAAATTCTAGTGAGACCTACCCTAAACTAGATTTTAATATATTTTTGGAAATACATATTATTGTCTTTTATTTATAACAGACACTACTGCAGCATCTCCTGGATAACTTGCAAGGAAAACATCTGGCCCCCAATTACGGTCTCCTAATGCTCTGGGCTTCCCAAGCCAATGCTGTCCCCGTAAGTACACCAGCTAGAGAAACACCTTCTCTAGTCCATTCAAAAGCCTGTATTTGGGAAGCAAAGACTTTGAACCAGAGGTCACACACGCTGCATGTATTCCAAAGAAGGGATTATCACGCCCACATGCATCACTACAAATACACCCAGGCTGCAATGTCACAGAAGCAATGACAAGAAAAGCTCTTTGTGTATTTTTCCTAAATTATTATGTCCCCTATCATAACATTTTGTGAACATATGTCTCATAGCTATTAAGATTACAGTCTTAAACTGTGAAGAGCTTTTGGCTCTATTTGAAGCACTGTGGCTGTATTATAGTAGAGACTCTATTTTAAATAGCCTGGCGTTAGCAATTGTAAAGAATATCAAAAGCATCATCTAGAGTGACTTCGTCTGCGTGCAAATCCTGGAGTGAATTTGGCTCTTTCGCTTTGGGGGATCTGCTGTACAAACGCCAGTGTTGCTTCAGGGGAAGAAACCAATAGTTTGATTCTACTGCCACTGAAGTTTTGTCTGTGTTAGAAACGGATTTGGTGGATTAATGATACAGATATATAAATGCTAACAAGGCCAATGTATCTAACACAGCTTAGGCTGACCAAAGACATTTATAAGAACTTCTCAGATGAAAAATCCATGACAGCAAAACCATCCTTTATTTACCACAACTACTAAGCTCTTTCCGGCACACTTACGTCCTTTACAGATGTGATTCAGAAAAAAAAGGATAGTGAGTTATTTTTATATGTACTCCTAATGGATATAGCTACAGTTTTTGTAGATTGGATATTACTACAATTTACACTAAAGGAATTTCATCTGTTCCAGTAGGGTTTCTGTAGATTCACGTGTTGGTATAAGTGAGAGGCATAGCCTGCTGTCAGATAACTGGCATTCCTTCCACAACACTCTCATTGCTTACTTCTGTAATATTCAGCTGTAAATAGACATACAGATATTTTGTTGTTTCTCAGAATAGTCACAACCACTGTTCTGGTGACTGGAATGATGAAAAAAGGCCTTTCACCTTCCAAGGGGATTTTTTACAAGCACATTAAACCCTTTTATCTGAAACAATTCAGTTATCCCTCCTCAGCGTGTGGAGCAAAGCCACAGAGTCCAAGTGCTGTACAAGAAAACTAAGATACCAGATTTGTTTTGCAGAAGGAGGGCTGCATCCACGTGGGGCTATTTGGGAAATAACTGTAGGAGTTCTCATCCCTCAGCAGCACAGATGGCCCACGACCAGATCTGCGTGCAGACTGCATCTCCTGCTGGCTCAGCAAGAGGAGAGAGACTCCCGCAGTGCTGCGAGTCCTTCTGGTTTCATCCTACTTAAGAGGATTTTCTCCTTTCCTAAATTTCTTGATTTTCAACTTCATTGCATAATCAGTTAGCAAATTATTTCCAAAGGGGATATACTACTGCATGTTTTGCTGTTAATTAAAACTTTTCCTGCCCATTTTAGTGTGACTCACCGTGGCAATGCCCTGCAAATTATTTCAATTAATTTCTGCTAATATTAGTAGGAATTTACTATTTAATTTCTCTTCCATTCATGCAGCTAAATCTAATCACGCACAATGATTTAGTAATGCATTTTAACACCTAGTTATTTGAAATTAAAGAAAGGATTCTGTGTTTCAAAGCTCAAAGCCAAAGCTGTGTAATGTTCACTGAAGATAAGTACACAGCAGATGACTAGACCTAATCTCCCAGGATCTGAACCTTTAGATGTGGATTTACCCTGGAAGCATAGCTCCCTGTGCATCCCAACTACAACAGGCATATCCAAAAAAGTGCAAAGGTTTTCACCTGCCTCTGTGATTTGCTACAAAGATACTGTAATCCTGTTCCCTGTTGCTGAATTAAAGTACTTTCATTTCTGTTTAGATTGCGTTCTGGACTCTTGTTTTCATACTCTCTTATCCTTCCATTTACAAGAAAATCATGGAAGACCTGGCTTCTGTTTTTGGCAAAGCAGGTAATAAATCAAATAATGTCTTCTGGAACCTAGAAATTATTTATTCTGTGTTGACCCAGCACACGGCCAATGGTCAGTGGCTAGGAATAATGAACGTTGCTGCTAAGGGTAGTACTGATGTTATGGAGTCCAGTGCTGAGTTCTTTACTCAGCATATGCTCAAGACTTATTTTCAAGCAAAACCCTTTTGATGTGAGCAAAAGAAGGTAGAAAAAGAACTGTATGTATTTGTCTCTTCACTCTGCACCTATCGTTTAGACCTAGTTTTGTACTAACCAGTCTTGTGCTTTTTTCATGCATCTATGATAGAGTCAGATGAGGTCTTTCAATTCAGCTGCTTTTCACGGTGTGATGTTCACTGGAGTTACAGCTATTCTGTGGAAAAACAGGCCAGGAACTGTTCTCTTTTCTCTCATCTGAGGCCAATTTGTCCA